CAAATCTCTTTACAAAAATGTAACGACTATATATATAGGATGATGACAGATGGGGAAAACCATACGGTAAAAGCTGCATAGATCCTAAAAAGGAAAGGAAGACGATCAAAAGGAAAGGAAAATTCATAACGTATGACTAATAATACGAGGAAAAGAGAAGAACTTAAATATATAGGTATAATCATATAGACAACCAGGAAACTCTTACAATCTCATATCAAAAAGACGTAAGTCATAAGATACATATAAGACTGTCTTTAGCACTAGAGTGATACAGTAATAACTGCTCGAATAACAAAATGAAAAAGTGTAGTATTCCGCTAAATGTTTAAATCATAATTGTCTTGCATGTGAACTGGTGAAGCTTGGATTGTTGCTTACGATCAAAATTTATTATCGTATGCATGTATCCAAAATATCAACTCAATATCATAAAGAAAAGTATCATTTCAAGGAGACGCGAATGAACATCTTCTTTTTGTCTAAACTTATATCTAACATACTTGAATTTCTCTTTTTAGTTGTTCTTTACGGCGACGAATTACATCGACTGGAATATTTGAACCAACAACGGTTTCGTTTTCTAAAATAAAATAATTATAGATATTTTAACTAATAACAACTTTTGCAAAAATTTTGGGACACTTAAAAATGATTCTTTAAAATGTTACAATTCATTCAAATTAAACCATATGTATTTATGCTAAGTATCGTTAATAGTTAAGCTTTTGTATTCTATTAATCCTAGAAGTTTAACGTCAGTATAGTATAAAACCGATCGTAACAGTGTAACTAACGTTCTATTCAAATTTTATCTTCTGGAGAAGCAATTTCGAAGTTCGAAAAAGGTGAATATTCTTTTTTTTGGAAGTATAGACACATACTATGTGGTATAATAACCTGACACTTCGAAAGAACATTGAAATTCGAACGGCCGCCGTCCTCTCGACCCTCACTCTAGATGTAACACTGGATGTAACCAACAGAGGGCAACCCTAACACCGGAACAACGCAAAACAAAATAATTACCATAATTGACACTATATTGCATGAAGTACTCCTAAGATCGTAGAACATCACCTAAGTTTCCTAGTTACACTAAGTTTAATCAATAAATATAACTATCATATAAATATAAAAATTTTGAAGAATCATTCTTAAGTGTTTCAGAATTTTTTTGTGAAGACTGCAGTTACATACCGAAACCGTTGAGTGTCATTTATTAATATTTTTTACAAATCTAGAAAAACAAAAAATATCAATGAATTATTTTAGGATTTTATTAATATAAAAATGGAATAATTCTATATGGAACACGATGACAATATTCATTCCAATCACGACCATATTTTTCTTTACATCTCTCATAATCTGTTCTTTCTCGAGCAATAAATAATGCAATATAATAAAGTGGATATAACCATGGATAAATTCCTCCATTAATTGCTAAACTAAGACCAATAGACATGAAAGTATCACCTAAATAATTGATATGACGTGAAAGAGACCACCATCCTGAACAAAGTAAACGTCCATTGATTGATATTGGGCGTATAAAACCTAAAAATAATGCATTTGGTTGTGTTCGAAATAAATATTTTTGATTATTTGCACCACGAGATAATATCCAACCAAGAAAAAAAATACTAATACTACAGAACTTTCGACTAAAAGATAATGACATTGGATTAATTTTACACCAAATAGCAATTGGATAGAAAAATGGATAAAAAACAAAACAACCCCAAACTAATTTAAAACCAACATATTCAATAATAAAATCAAATGTATACAAATGAACATGTTCATGATAAAAATATTCTATTATAAAAAAACTAAATAGAAATATATAAATAATTATATTTGTCATTGATTCATTTTTTTGTGCATATTCAAAATAAAATAGAATTAAATTAAGTTCTAAACCAATTCCTCCTATAATATAGAGTAAAATTTTTCCATCAACACAATTAAAAAACCATTGAGGATTTTTTAAACGACCAAGATAAATATCAAGCCAAAATGATGATGATTTTTGTTTATATGGAAGTACAAGAATAAATGTAAATATTAAACCTAATAAACATGCACAAACTGCATGTTTTATTCGAAGTTTAATCAAATATTGAATATTAACAAATTGAAAATATTCAATAGAAATAATAAATGAAAAACTGACTATGAATAAAACTCGTAAACCATTAAGACGATAAAATGAAGGACCATCATGAACATAACCACGAACATGATGGGCAGGAACAACAAGATGTAATAAAGTAATAAATGTATAAATGAATGAAATATGAATAAATGCAAAAAACCATTCGTTTAGATCAAGGTTGGTCATATTTGAATTGAAATGATATCATCTAATCATGAACTAAATACAATGAAGTGAAAGAGTTGAATTTCAAGATAAGAGAGAAGTTAAAGAGCAGTTGTTTTATAACATGATCATAATGACGAAAGTAGAGAAGCAAACAATCGACATTTAAGGGTAAAACATAGCTAACACACTATTGCTTCCATTGATTCATTCAATACATTTTTTTTATTATCAAACGAAGAAAAAGAAAAACTTATTGGACAAATATTATTCAATCCATTCAGAGTTTTATAAGATGACGCTACATATTGAACATATTACGTATTAAATTTGAAAAAACTCAACTATTGTGCATGTTAAAATATAATATATTTCACTGCTTTTAAATAATTTTTCATAGAAACCTTATAGAGACTTGTAGTATTCACCATTCACGAGAGTACACATAGAGCCATTGAAATAAATCGAAATTTGATTAGTCAACAATTGACTAATCAGGTAGGTTCTTTGTAAAAAAAAAAGGTTGAGATAATCTACACACACTTCGACGTACACACACAAAATCGCCATTGCATTAAAATGACACATAACCTCTAAGTATGAAAGAGGGCGTTTCGTGTCGCGAACGAAAGATATAAGTTTTATGTATATTATCGTTTGAATAAAATAAAAAATGTTTTCATTTTTTGAATTTCGATGTGATATGAATGCAATCTATCACAAATAATACGATATTAAAAATGAAATATATAAGTATCGACTTATTTAAATAATTTTTTTGTCAAATTGTAGCGCACATAAAATAGTATTTCATCTATTATAAATGAACAAAAACTAGTAAATATTATCTTTTCTCGTTTATCATATTCTATTTTATGATTTAAAAGAATTTTTCTAATACAATATCAATTAAAAATCAGTTCATTATCAGAAACAGCCTCTTGTTCTTGTAAACAATGTATAATCTATTACATCCAATTTCTTTCAGTTCGGGTAATTAGACTACTCATAATTTTTAACCTATGTGCACCAAGGCTTTGCACAAAATGACCGTTCAATGTTTGACTGGTTTTAATCAACTGAAGAGAAAAAAAGTAGTCAGCTAGACTAAGTATTTCATGTTCTATCTCTCTATATATATTCAGATTTCTTTTTGACTTAGAGTACCGCATTAAGAACAAATATTTAGAAGGATCTAAAACGATGTCTGTGTAAAATTGTAAACTAGCAGGTTTTATATGTGCATCTACTTATGTTTGGAATGTCCAGTTGCCATTAAAGATAATCAAAATGAATTAATTAGCATCAAAATTTATTTTATATTATAGATATGTTCAGAATTTTTATCCCATCTCAGTCAACTCACCTACGAACAAATATCTGAGTAGTTTAAAGATGTTACTTTCATCAAGTACGCTTTTTTTCTATCTTATATAGACCTTATTAGTGGCACTGATATCAACTCGTTCACAATTTGAAAAGATGTTTTGAAGGCACAATAAAAGTATGTTCTTAGAAAGAACGAAATAAACTGAGAAATGAGATTAAATTATCTCGGAGATATATATATATATAGTCAAATATCCAAAAGAAATATTTTTAAATGAATTTTCGATTAAGAATCTTTTATTCTTTCTCTTTCACTCTAAGCAGTCTACTTTTTTTATTCGTACAAACTGTAGACATATGAATCAAAGCGAGGAAGACTAAAGCATTGAAAATGATTAATGGCGTAGATTGTCTCACTTAAGAATAAGTCACATAAATGGAAAGCGATATTGTTTTTTTAAGAAAATTCTATTTTAATGAAAATTCATTTACAGATGCTGGGAAATCATATGACGTTTGGCATCAACACTATGCTCCATTTCAGTTTTATCAACTACAAGCAAACATATTGAGAAATCGATAGAATTTTCACGACAGAAAGACATGAAATGAATTTTAATCGCCTGCCTTTATGAGGAGTTTGAGATGCTTTTCTTTTATTGATATTCATGGAAGAAACGGAATAACATGGTTTTTTCATATCAAGGAAAAGTTTGAAATTTACACTATGTTTATGAATTTTTTTGCCGAATGTTGATTAGTTTCGATAAGATTTAGGATATGAAAGAAATAATAATTCCAATATTAAACACTTACATAAAAGTTTATGTAATGAAAAAGTTACTATTTAATTAGAACAAATTTGTTTTCTATTCATTCATATTTCAAAAAGTTTCTTAGCAAAAAGCTCTCAACATTCAAATCTATTTAATTTAAAATTGTATATAAGCAGTCCAGAAAAATAAATTTAAAAATCGATAAATAATAAAGAAAAGACGCTTAATTTTCTTCTGTGAGAAGATATTAGTTTCTCTTCAATGAAAGTTAAAAATATTTTCCCCATATAATAGAGAAATTAATTGAATTTTTTTTCTTTATGATGTAAAATTAGATTTTGACTCGGCTCATATTTGAATTTTTTAATCTCCAGTGATTGCAATGAATAATTAAATGAAATGGAAATAACATATATGGTTTGATTTGAGTATTTGCCTTATTTTCATATACATCTTATTTTAAAATATATCTTGTAATTCAACAAAAGTCTCACTAAACATTTTTTCAACATAAGTCAAAAAATGTATGGATATATGAGAATAAAGAATGGACAGTAATTGTATTGGTTGAAATAAGCAAGGATAAGCTACACACACTATTGTGTGTAGCGTGTGAATGTAGCTTATCTTAACCGTGTGGATGTGGATGCGGATGCTTATATTGCTTCCATCCACCGTCACATCTACACCCACACACACACCCTTTTTTATATGCAATAAAAATTATAGGTTAATTTGATATTCTTTCCTGAATTTAACTAGTTTAATGCGAGAAGTTTTTTTAGTATAAATAAATATCTTTTGCTTTTTGGCAATTCATCTTCTGTCATATTCTGCTTTTTTAAAGTAATCTTCTGCTTTTCGAATGTCAAAAGGTGGCAACATTAACCTAACTACTGAAATATTTACACTGCGACCTGGATCCGGAGCCGGACTCGTTGAAACAAATTTCTTAGAACTGCACCCGTAGCCGTACCTGGTTAAGAGAGTTTTATCATACCCGGACCAGATGGACTCTACGCCACACTCATACCCACACCCATATCCTTAATAAGATAATATGATTATCCACAAAACGAAGAGTAGAAAAATCAGCTTCACTTAAATCTACTGGATCGGAATCTGAGTCCAAACGAATCAAACCATTGTCATAAAGAAAGAATGGAATATTTTTACGTTGATTTAAGTTAACTTGAGGCAATACACTGAGTGTTTTTACACTTATATGTTGTTGTAATTGCTTCCAAATGCCATTTTTACTACGTGACTTTTCAGGGAGTTCAAGAAGTTGCGTAGAAATATGATCGATATAGGTATCGTAGACAGTTTGTTTATGTAATATTTGGACAACCAGTAGATGTTGTTGACGATAAGCTTTATCAATAGCATCTTGTTGTATTGTATAAACGATAGTAAATGTACCAATGATTAATGTAAGACATGCAGATATTATTAGTTGAATATGTCTAAAATGCTGTGTACTTTTTTTAGTCTGTATTCTTACTGTAATTACCATTTTTTGTTTTGCTTCTTAATAATAAATGGTAAATTCTCGAACTAATCATGTCACTCTTACATAAAAAAAATCATGATTTACAAGCTATATTGTTTATATATCATTAGAAATATTTTGATTAACACAGAATGAAAGTATGCAAAACTTTAAATCAGAAGACATTTATTAATAATATTGGATTATCACGATCTGGTTATGCATTTGTTGCACGTTGATAACTTATGTCAATATCTAAAGAGAGAAATAACATGTCCATATGGAGCATAAATTTGAAGATACATATATATATAGAGTAATAAAAAACGTGGTTCAAGAACATTTGACGTCAAAGTGGAAATAAAAAACTTTCTGCTTTTTGATAGTCACATTTATGATGATTGAAATTCAACAAAATGTTAATAGTATTGGCATCTCATAGAACATTTTTTGCAGTTTGAGCCTATAATCGAAAGGAACAAAAGGCTTTTTGAAGCAACTAATGGAATATGCAATACGTAAAACAAGAGTCATCGTTATTTTGATAGGAATATAAATAAATATTTTCACATCCGTTTAAATTATCATGCAAGATATATTCACTACACACTTTTGCCTAGATTGTTGTTGTCCCTTTGTCGGTTTTTTTAAAGACTAATTAAATAAACGTGTATTCTCAAAAGATAAAAACCTCTTGTAAATATAGAATGGGTGGAGAGCAAAAGATACTCTGTGTTTTGGGTTCTGCCATCTTCTGAATACATGATTATAAAAGAAATATTTTGAAATACAGGTTGGTCAACGAGTTTATCCCTTAAAATTAATTGAATAGACTTAAGGTCGAGAACAGGAATTTTTTAACGATTATTCACATTTAACAGTTGAACGACGAGAAATTTCTTGAATAATCTGCTGTTAATCGGTATGATTATAATATCGTGCATTTTATTCATATATCTATTGAACTTATAACTCCTTTTTTTTAAGCTCTGAATCAATCGAATTCTGAACAAAGTTATAACTGACTGCTGAAGACTTTTACAGATGTTTGATTTCCTTCAATAACACTGCGCAATATTTTGTATCGTTGTCAGATTAATAAAGCAGTGCAATATTAAAGAAATAGGATGTGAGTATGTCATTCATTTCGCTTTCACACTCACACCTTCAAATGAACCAAAAAGTATATCATGCAAAACTTCCAAGAGGCATTTCCTGATGAGGCAATGTTGGCGTACGACTATAGAGGATGCGTTTGGTGGTCGCAATATAGTGAAAAATTACTATTAAATATTGGATTTGATAATGAATAGAAATTCTCATTTGTTCATGATAAAAAAAGGCGAAAAAGATAATGGAAACAAACGGACATTCTTTATAACAAATTGGAAACTGTATTCGTAAACGATGATGCATTCATATTGATTTTCATCAACAAATTAAAGGAAAAAATTCTATTTAAAATGGAATAATCGTTTTACATATTTTTTTTTCTGATGATTTTTAGAAGTGTCTCAGAAGAGTGTCAGAAGTTAGTCCACTCTATTCTACCAGAGGTAAATCTTTAGACCTTAACACTTTGGATTCTTCTATGTTATATCAGGACCTAACTTCTATGGATACTTTAATACTATAAACAACGTATATAAATCGCTTGAACTGTTTAAGAGTTATTCACATCAACTTTCCGTACGGACTTTTGGATATCGTGTTTAATAAATCGAAAAGTTGTTTAACTTTTATGATAAGAGTAAAGTCCGAAATATGCCCATTTATAAAACTTAGAGTGGAAAAAAAGACAATGATAATACAATGCATTTATAAAACGATATTTTGTCAATCAATTTGATATTCTATCTAACGTCCAA